TTTTTTTTTTTTTTCAGTTTTTTCATTAGTAAATCTTACAAACACTTTAGTTGAGATGAATGTATTTTATAATACCTAGTCATAAATCAATTTCACATTGTAGTTATGTAGTCCTAGTTCTTAACTAAAAAATTTATTTTCTTTTACGTGCAATAAATGTAGCTTTTAAAGTAATTCTGGAAAGTAATGGGGTAAGCCGATTGTCAACTAATACGATTAAACTGAACTCAAGTTTTAAAATGTGATTTCGGTATTAAATTGAAGGAATTGTTGTTGTTACTACTGATAAATTTATATGGTGTAAGAGTTATCTATTAAGTTTCTGAAGAACTGTCTAAGGAATTAAGATTTTTAAAAGGTATTTGCCGATTACTAAATATAGACTAAACATTAAATTGACGCTTTAATACTCTAAGCATAGCTAAGATTAGAATGAAAATTTATAATAAACGCTGTCTGTCTTCTAAAAATAATCTTATTTGTATAGGAGGCTGTTGACTATTTAACAACAGCCGAAAAATAAATTTTTGATGCAATAATTTAAAAAAAAAAAATAAAAGAAGAAAAATAAAGAAAAAAAAGAGAAAATTAATAATCTTATTCCTTTCTGCATTTCCACTATTTTATTGTTTATCAGCACGACTAAAACACTAATCATTTCTGTCAATTCAGATTATAAACGCTATCTATTAGTTATTTTCAGCATCTCAGACAGTACGACCTTGCGAAAGTAATGTATGCTTGAATAAGGGTAAATGCATCATAGATGACACTGAAAAGTCGTTTCGTTGTATTTGCTTACCAGAATATACAGGTGTCCTCTGTGAAACAGAAGCTGCATGTGAACTGCAGTGCAAGAACGGTGGCCAGTGCGTACTAGAAGGCGACTTAGAGAGGTGCCACTGTTCAGCAGGTAGGCAACAATGATAGGATACACTTGTTTAGATAGGCGATTTACATTTAACTGATATTATTTAGGCTACTATGGTGCACTCTGCGAATATGAAGCTGAAGACTGTCGGCAAGCTGGATGCAAATTAACTGAAAGGTTAAGAACAAAGTGGAACTCTAAAAAGCTTGTACAACGTCTTTAAGAATAAGGAGGAATAAATTGAGATTTCTATAGCCATTATAGAACCCAAACAGCAACGGCTGTAACGAAATTACTATTCAGTTTTAATAGTAAGATAAGCAAGCATAGTTTTTGAGTGTCATTTATCAATTAATTGCCAGCGTGCAATTTGTTTGATTTTTACAGATGTATATCTAACGATTCAAATGTTTATTTTTGCGCTGATAATCAATGTGCAACGGAACCATGTTTTAATAACGGAAGTTGCATTCAACATTTGGTACATGCTTCTTTCTTTTTCAAACTGTTTTTTTTAAGATTTCTTTTTTTTTTTTTTTAAGAAGAAAAGTTTGAAAAATAGAAATT